GCGCAGCTCCTCGTCTCACGACTGGGTGGGCGGGCATGCACCTGCTTGTGGAATGTAAACAGGTGAATCACGGATCATCTACGTCGGCAGTACGAAGTTCGATTAGTGGCATACAAGTACACCCGCAGAGGAGAGGTTTTCACTCGCATTCTTACCAGCCAATGGTCAAGGGTCAACGCACCGTTACCGCCTAGTGACCACTTCCCAAATCAGGTTACGGCGGCGACGGTCTGTCGGCTGCACACCTGCACGCCATGGCCAGCTAGTTGTGTATGCTATGCATACGTGGAATCGTAACAGCTTATTTTCGGACAGGTGCTGAACGACCTTTTGTTTCAGCCCTCAATTTCCTTAGTTTCCTAATATCATCCTCCGTTCACAAGAGCGACGACATCAGCGACATCCAAACGTTATTTTCACAAAATTTGTATGCGGTCTTCGTTCCGATACAGTCCGTTTCTGGAGATATTACGTCAGTTATGAATAATCTCCTTATGATTATTGTCTCTCACCTAAATCGCTGATCTTCAGTATGGCATTTATCGAACACCGAGATTTTACGCAATTGCTTTTCGTTATCGATATTCTGTTCCACTTCATAAGAAAAATTATTTCAGACAGATTTTTACGTGCCAATGTGCTTAGCTGTGGCCATTTCGCGCTTCTTCGGGTAGCGGATAAAGTAAGACCTCCAGATATGGAGGTTAGCTGCAACAGATAATCAGTTGCTGAGTTGCGAACAGACAGCAGTGAGATCACCAGGGCGTGGCTGAGTTCGAACTCGACAAAATCGTTGTTTAGCAAATAAGTCTCATTTTGCCGAATGACGGAGCGAAAACGCTTCATTTCTTTGAATACTACTTCTATCATGTGGTTAGAAGTCGGTTCGTCAAAAACTAGCAGGGAAAACTTCGATAAAAACAAGAGGGAATTAGGGGGATCCCTCTGTACGAAATTCGCCAAGCCATCGTCGGTTCTGTCAATGAGTGGCAAAACTGCATGCGCAATGACTACAACGTATTACAGGTGTCCGAACAGGCCTTTATTCGGCCCTCACTATGGATGTATGGATGTGGTTCGATATGCATGTATGACATCCATGCATTGCAAGTGCTCAAATACCGTTGAACTGTGGAGTGCTTTAATGGTCCCCTTGGCGATCAGAAGCAAGTGGAAGGGTCTTACGTCGCTTCAATCCGGTATCAAAAACTGTAAAGGATTATTTATCTCAGCGGCGGTATCGATAACTATCAGTAAGCTAGTAAACCTGCAAGATCGGGTTTTATTTTTATGTACGAAGTATTTCGACCTCCAGTTGATCCAGGGTCTCCTACGATGAACACGTTCAGGTGCGGTCGAAACAAAAACAGGGAAGGTTCCTAAATGGTGTTCGAACTGCTTGTTATTGCGTTCAAAACCAATACATCGAAAAATGGTAACAAGTATGTCAATCAGTTTCGGTAACCGTTTATCGATTCTGATGCGGACGCCAGTGTTTCTGACGCTTCCGATCCCGTACCAGCCTTCGACAGAAGATAACCTGAGTGAGGAGCAGAGGTGCTTCAGTGTTCTGCTCTTCTTGGATATTACGGGTAATGGGTATGCTGTTGCTAAAATATATATGTAGTAGAAAAAAATGTTGAACACTGGTGGATCCTTTTATACATAAAATTTATTTGCGGTGTAATGCAGTAAAGGTAGGATTTGTCGAAAGGAATGAAGAAAATTTTGGAACGCTTCACGAATTTGCGTGTCATCCTTGCGCAGGGGCCATGCTAATCTTCTCTGTATCGTTCCAATTTTAGTATATGTCCATGGAATGGACAAATAGTGTTATCTATAGGATCTATATATAATAAACCTTTAACTTATGCACATAAATTGTGGGTTCACTGAATTTGTCAAAGCACTAATTACTGTATGATGCAACTATTATCTATTCGAGCATGAAGATCAGAATTTCTGCCACATGAGTTGAACCCAAAATATGTAGAAAATAAATATCGAAAATGTAGAAAATATGGTGTTTAAACAGAAAAACAACAATTTACGCTAGCAATGATCGCACAGTCGCCTTAGCTATACTGAACGGATTGCTTCAATTCCTATATAGTACTCGATAGTACTCTCGATGATCCCGATAAAAATCGATTTTACCCACTGTTCTGTGCAACCAGCTAAAGCTGGGCACAAAGTCTATGTTTCCAAATAAGCTGAAAGAATCTGATATGATCACGAAATTCATGGCTGCGCTATTCGACATGCTGACGTTAATATCTTTGAATATCTGTTGAACCGTTTTCGATACAAGTTGTTTGTGAGCCGTTGTTTGTGAGCCTATAGATTTGATTTTGACAGCGCAAATGCTATTGCTCAAAATGTTTGTCTTTCTGATGGTTTTGGATCCGAAAGACATGGGAGCAGGAAATTTTCATTGAAAATCAATCATAAAGGCTCGTCATTCCTTTTAGGTGGCGGGGAGAATAACTACTTAGTGAGAACTTTCATATGATATCGGTATACCGCCAAACGGAAACAAGGTTCGTTGTCTCCACTCCGAGGCGCCACAATTATGTTAAATTATTTCACTCCCGTAGATCGAGAGATTACAACTAACCATGGAACTTGACCATTGAAAGGGCCTCTGAAGTAGTTAGCTTCCCTCCCCGGCCCGAAAGGAATAGCGAGCTTTGAAAACAAATTAAATAAATATTGATTTTCTTCGTCTGCTAAAAAGATACGTCTTCATGATCCTACTCAACGGTCGATAAACCAAACCAGTTTGAAATCAGCTGGCCGTCTTTATGGTCTAAACCGAAGCGTCGTACTCTGGGTGGAAAAAAGACGCTGCGTTCGGAAAATTGAAGTAATGTAAAATTCTGAAGCTCCAGGGTTCAGAAACCGGCACCTGAAGCCACGTACGCGTTGGACCGTCGAAGTCCAGTCGAAACGTTTTGATATCAGCGATGCAATCGCGGGCTACGGCTAAAAACTCTGGACGAAGGCCGTCGGCAGGCGTTTTCCCACATCCGCAACAGCTGAGCATCTGTTGACGTCTGATTCGCGTCTTGACGACTTTTTGCCGTCGATAGTTCTAGCTATTGTAAAGGTTGCTTTATTCTCTTTCGAATGCTACGTTGTGTTTTCACTGCGACTTCGACGATTTTCTTACGAGACAAAGGACAGGTCACCCGGTAGACGATTGGGTAGGGATGTTGATATAGGGATGAAAGGAAATCGCCGGCATAACCGGGGTTACTCGCTTTAACATAGAACGCATCAAGTCAAGACAACGGAGGATATACACATGAGGCCCGCTGCATTTTACAGCATAGTCCATTGAGCCAGCTTGATGCTGCGTTAGAACAACAACGATAAACTTTACGGTACTTTTCCGTTATGGTATCCCAAAATTAAAGTGCATTTAATTTGGCATAAAATGCATAAGTGACAAATTATTTTATTGGAGTCAAACATTGACAATTTCTTTTAACAATGTTTTAAAATAAGCAGTTGTATTTAACATTTGTTCGCTGAAAAATTTAACATAGAAACGAGTCCGTCGTTGTTCTGCGAGTTCCTAATTGCGTTTTTTAGCTGACGCCGTAGTAGTTATGCCTAATGTGCTCGTGTTCATGCCTGCAGATCATCTTCATCTTCCATCGCCGCTTCTCCTTTCGGGTCGCGGAGGCAGACGCGTCAGACAGTGCTTC